TGTTGAACATTTTAAGGTTACCCAGTCAGCCTTTGCTAGCTTTCCCCTCAATAACATTTTAAACTAAGGACTGGAACATACCACATTCAGTATGGAATCGATTTGTGTTATGATCACTATTTCTTCCCCCAGAGGATCTTTTGTTGTGAGTTTGCCAATTAATCTGCTTCATTGCACAATATTAGATCGAAAACAGTGTCATCCCTTGTTAATCCCATGATGCATTATTTCAGGAAAGCATTTCACAAATTCGCCGTCAATGATTCTTTGCCAAACAATAGAATCATAGAATTTTACAACACAGAAAGAGGCCATTCAGCCCATCGTGTCTATACCAGCTCCTGAAAATCTACCAAGTTAATCCCATTCTCTAGCCCCATATCTGTAGCCCTCTAATTTCATGATTTTCAAATATATATCCAGCTCTCCTTTGAAACCTCATATGGAATCTGCCTCCCCCACTGTCACAGGCCATGCATTCCAAATCCTAGCAATTCTCTGAGCTGGATATATATTTGAAAGGGATAAAGTTAGAGTGCTATGGAGATGGAGCTGGACAATGAGACTAGCTGAGTAGCTCTTTCAGATATAGTCATGATGGGTCGAATGGCCTCTTAAAATTCTGTGATTCTGAAGAAGTTTCTCCTCATCTCACTCCTAGCTCTTTTGCTGACAGTCTTGACACTGTGAACCCTAATTATTGACATACCAACCAGTGGAAACAGAATATCTTGCTTTACCCTGTCAAAATTGTTCATAATTTTGAGAACCTCAATGAGGTCACCTCCTCATCTTCACTGCTCCAAGGAGAATAAACCCAAACTCTGTAATCTTTCCTTGCATCTAAAATCCTTCATTCCTGGTATCATTCTGGAAATCTCCTTTGAACTTTTAGATCTTTCCTTAAATAAGGTGCCCAGAACTGAACACAATACTCCAAATATAGTCTGACAAATGATTTGTAGAGATGTACCATCACTTCCTTGCTTTTATACTCTATGCCTCTATTTATAAACCTAAGGATCCTATAAGATTTCTCAACAACTGTTTCAAGTTGCCTGGCCACTTTCAGAGAATTATGCACATGAACCCCAAAGTCCGTCTGCTCCTGTAATTCCCTGAAAGTTGTCCCATTGAGCCTGTATTATCTCTCCATGTTTCTTCTACCAAAATGCATTGCCTCACATTTCTCTGCACCGAAATTCATCTTCCAGGTGTCTGCCCATTTGGCCAACTTGTCTTTGTCTCTCTGAAGTCACTCAGTGTCATCCTCACAATTCATTATTCTCCCTGGCTTAGTGTCATCTGCAAATTTAGAGATTTCCCCCAAAACATCCATTTCTAACTTGACTTGTCCAATCTTATATCAAGTTCCCTGGGATTGCTGTTGTCTGTTTTGCAAGTTCCAATATTTTGTTATCTAATGCCATTTCCAACAGTGTAAATTCTGTTATGGCAGCCAATAAAACACTTCCAAACTTTTCTGACCATTACTGGTTTTGCTATCTGATATTCTCAGCCAGGGTTCTTTCTCATGAGAATCCTTTTGTCAACATTAACGATCAGGCCTGGCCTTTCTCTTTTTCCCTGGTTGAAATGATTCATTTTGGAACGTCGAATTTGAATGCAGAATACAGGGTTAATGGCAGGATTCTTGGCAGTGTGGAGGAACAGAGGGATCTTGGGGTCCACATCCATAGATCCCTCAAAGTTGCGACCCAAGTTGATAGGGTTGTAAAGAAGGCGTCTGGTGTGTTAGCTTTCATTGGCAGGGAAATTGAGTTTAAGAGCTGTGAGGTTATGCTGCAGCTCCATAAAACCCTGGTTAGACCCCACTTGGAATATTGTGTTCAGTTCTAGTCACCTCATTATAGGAAGGATGTGGAAGCTTTAGAGAGGGTGCAGAGGAGATTTACCAGGATGCTGCCTGGACTGGAGGGCAGGTCTTATAAGGAAAGTTTAAGGGAACAAGGGTTTTTTTCATTGGAGCGAAGAAGGATGAGAGGTGACTTGATAGAGGTTTACAAGATGATGAGAGGCATAGATAGAATGGATAATCAGAGACTTTTTCCTAGGGCGAAAATGACTATTACAAGGGGCATAATTTTAAGGTGATTGGAGGAAGGTATAGGGGAGATGTCAGAGGTAGGTTCTTTACACAGAGAGTGGGGGGTGTGTGGAATGCGCTGCCAGCAGTGGTAATGGAGTCAGATACTTTAGAGACTTTTAAGTGACTCTTGGAGGATAGTAAAATGTAGGGTATGCAGGGTAGATTGATCTTGGTAGGATAATAGGTTGGCACAACATCGTGGGCCAAAGGGCCTGTACTGTGCTGTACTGTTTTATGTTCTAAGTCTTCAAATCCCAGAGGTTACATGTCCAAGTGAAGGAATTAGGCAAAAATATGAAAGAAGAAAATCTTATTATCACAGGCAAATTGATATGGAAGAACATACAGAGTCATAGGATCATACAGCACGGAAACAGACCCTTCGGTCCAACTAGTCCATGCTGAACATAATCCCAAACTAAACTATTCCCACCTGCCTGCTTCTGGCCCATATGCCTCCAAACTTTTCCTTTTCATGTACTTATCCAAATGTCTTTTAAACATTGTAACTGTACCTATATCCACCACTTCCTAAGGAAGTTCATTCCACACCTGAACAGCTCTCTGTGTAAAAAAATTGCCCCTCATGTCTTTTTTAAATCTCTCTCCTCTCACCTTTAAAATGTGCCCCCTAGTCTTGAAATTACCCACCCTAGGGTAAAGACAACCACCATCAACTCTATCTATACCCCTCATTATTTTATAAACTTCTATCAGGTTACCTCTCAACCTCCGATGCTCCAGTGAAAAAAGTCCCAGCCTATCCAGCCTTTCTTTATAACTTAAACCTTCCACACTCGGCAACATCCCGGTAAATCTCTTCTGAACCCTCTCCAGCTTGATAATATCCTTCCTATAACTGGGCGAATAGAACTGGACACAGAAGAGGCCTCATCAACATCCTGTACAACATCTACATGATGTCCCAACTCCTGTACTCAAAGGGCTGAGCAATGAAGACAAGCGTGCTAAATGCCTTCTTTACCACCCTGTCTATACGTGACGCAAACTTCCAAGAATTATGTACCTGCAACCCTAGGTCCCTCTGCTCCACAACACTACCCATATCTCAACAAAATTAGTGATGGTTGTTGGGAAAGAGAGGATTGAGGGACAGGGTGAGAAAGAGAGGAGGAAATGAAACTGGATTGCTCTACAGGGAGCTGGCAAAGACTTGATGGATTTAATGATCTTTCCTGTGCCATATTGACTCTATGAGGAGGAAAAAATTTGAGGATTGATGGATACATTTTGGAGATGGGATATTTTTATACGGGATACAGCAAGAAAGGTTTGAGGGACATAACAAGGAGAGATTGAGGATTTATTTGGAAGGATTCAGGATTATGGAGAAGAGGGAGAGAGTGATTTGATGAAAAGGATTGAGAGATAGATGGCTTAAAGGTCTGCTAGCCTCCTCCCTTCCTAGTATCCAGATCTCCAAATATGCCTGTCAAAATTATTTAGCTGTGTTTCTTGCACTGAAGAAATTCTTCATTCCTTGGCCTGAAGCCTCCTTTGAGATGTGCAGCCACCGAGAGAAACAGTGACCCTCTTATAAAGCAGGATGTATTAACGTTAGGGACCTGAAAATGCTGTGAACATCAGTGAGAATCCAAAACCAGAAACAGGCAGAATATAAAGAGAGGCTACAAGCCTTTGTTGAATAAGTTATAATTTAATAAATGCTGTCGAGACTCTTGATTTGAAGGTGGCGGTAAATGAGACATTTCCTGAACCACTGAGTCTGTTTTTGTTTATGTTCAAAATCAACTCTTTGCCTTTTGACTGCGAAAGCATTTTCTTACAGTATCAGTAAATTCCAGTCAGCAGTGACTGTGAAGCTACCTGATGCTGTGGCAGCACGGAGACAGACAGAGAGAGTGAGTGAGAGAGAGAGAGAGAGTGCCAGCTGAGTTTGGAGAGGTGTGAAGTGTATAATGTAATGCAGACTCTCTACAAACCCACCTTCCCCATCCAGGAACCAACAAGCAATAGGACAAGGTCAATTGTTTCAAGGCACACCAGACCACTTCTGCCCCCCACTGGTTTGGACAGGTAAGGCACTGCCTGTTCTGAGTCTCTCAGACTGGAGAGGGCTCTGATTCCCACTCCGTTCTTTCCCTTTCCATTAGAGTATTTAATGGATAGGAAAGGGGGTTGGGGGTGGGTGCAGAATACTGAGGAAGGTCAATCAATTTTCACGCCACCCTGCTACCCCATCACCCATGCTCCTCATCCACTGCCTGTAAAAATAATCTTGGATTGTCCACCTTGCTTGAGTGGAACATGCTTGGGATATACAGGTGAGTTTGGACCCATCAGTAATGCCAAAGCCCCATCCCACCCCTGTAGTTTTTCCTCACATCATTGTCTGTTGTGCCCTCATCGATTGCTATAAAAGATGCATAACTCCACTGATATTGCAGAATGCAATGGGAGAAGGTTCACTACAACACTTTGTTTCCTTTCCGAATCTCTGAATTCCTACGTTGCTAATAGCCAGATAGCTCAGGCATTAAAAGGGCAGAGGGTCAGGATGTGAGACAGAGTGGTCTGGAAGATAGTGTTGCACACACAGTGAGTCAGAAATGACACTGAAACCATTTAGCCAACAGCAAGATGGTGGGTGTAGCCTCCATTGATTGGACAATGGGATCCGGTGACCTGACCCATGACCTGTGAACTGTAGGGTGTCAGCTCCTGGTTGTTGCCAAGAGAATGATTTGTTGGATTTTGATTAGTTCTCCTTGTCTGTGTTGTGCTGGGGGAAGGAATTTGCATCAGAATCACCATCACATCAACTGAACATTGGTACGACTCAAAACACAAGATGGAACAGAAATGTGTTGAGAGAATGTCTTTTCTTTCCCCGCTTCTCGCTGTCTCTCTACGAGGTTGGCCTTTTCTCCGTGGCACCGTCTTCTCCCTCAGTCCGTGTGTGAGGCTCAAAGGCTGATATACCGCCCCGTAGCTGGAGGAGAGCTCAGCAGTGGTGCCTAGTGGCGGCTTTGTGAAGCACCTTGCTGGCAGTGGGGGGAGCTGGTGGTCTGGGGAAGTGCAGAGAGGCTGAAAGAGGCTCCAGTCACCGCAGGCGAGCTGCTGCTAGAGGACACCAGGCCGCAATTGTCACCCACTGGAGATCCAAGAGGACTGGCTCCTTGAATGAGCAAACTGGGAGCTGGAGGGATAGACAACAATCTCCCTTGTTCCAAAAGTCTCAGGATGTTACAGGTGCTGATGGATTCTGAAGCACTGGAGGAACGACGATCACAGTCTTTACTCTGGTCCTTTTTCTGCTTTGTGCGTCTATTCTGGAACCAGACCTTGACCTAAAACACAAAGACAGAATGAAATTGAATCAGTATGTCAGTAAAATGGGATGCCTCAAACAACAACGTGCATATTCTGCAACAGCTACACATCAGGAACAGCCCTAGGTGTTTGACCAGGAAATGACTGACGTTGAACCAAAGAAGGAGGTAATAAGGTACAGGTGACCAACGGTTTGGTCAAGGATGTAGATATTAAGGAGCATCCTAACTTAGGAAAATGTGGGACAGAGGTGGAGAGGCTCAGGGAGGGCCTGGAGACTGTGGGTACTGAGCCAACTGATGGTATAGTTACCAATGGTAATAAAATTGCAAAGCATTCCTTGGAGATTTTAGGCAGGAAGTGGTTATAAGACCATAAGATGCTGGAGCAGAAGTAGGCCATTCAACCCATCGAATCTGCTGTGCCAATCAATGCGATCATGGCTGATCTGATAATCCTCAACTCCACTTTCCTGCCTTTTCCCCATATCCCTTGTTTCCCTTACTGATAGAAAAAATTCCAAACTCAGCCTTAAATATACAGCCCAGCCTCAACAGCACTGTGCTGAATAATTCCATAGAATCACTCCTCTATGAGAAAAGAAATTCCTCCTCATCTCTTCCTTAAATGGATGACCCCTTATTCTGAGATTATACCCTCTGGTCCTAGACTCTCCCACAAGAGGGGACAACTTTTCCTCATTGACTCTGTCAATCCCCCCAAGAATCTTGCAGGTTTCGATAAGGTCACTCATTCTTCCAAACTCCAGTCAGTATAGGCCCAATCACCTCAAAGACAGTCCCTTCAAACTTGGTATCAGCCGAGTGAAACTTCTCTAGATTGCTTCCAATGTCAGTATATCTTCCTATAGATAAGGGACCCAAAACTGTTCACCATATTCCAGCTGCAAGCTGACTGGTGCCTTGTATAGTTTTAGCAAAACCTCCTTACTTCTCGACTCCATTTCCTTTGAAAGAAAGGCCAACATTCCATCTGCCTTCCCTACTACCCACTGATCATGGATGTTAGCTTTTTGTAATTCACAGACAAAAAGACTCCCAGATCTCTCTGTGCTGTAACTTTCTGCAGTCTTTATCCATTAATATTCCTTCCTCAACAGCATGGGCTCATGTCTTATTAACTAGTGTAATGTGTGGTCCCTTATCAAATGCCTTCTGAAAATCCAATTATATTACACCCACTGCTTCCCCTTTATCTAACCTGCTTGTTACTTCCTCAAAGAATTCTAGTCAATGTGTCAGACCTGATGTCCCCTTCCTGGAGCCACGCTGACTGTGTTTGACATTATTTTGTATCTCTAAATACTCTACTATCACAGCCTTTATAACAGACTCTAACTTAACCCCAATAACACACATTAAGCAACTGACCTACAGTTTCCTGTCATTTGTCTCCTTCCCTTTTTAAATGAAAGCATTACATTGGCAGTTTTCCAATCCTCCGGGACTTTTCCAGAATTTAAGGATTCCTGAAAGATTATTACCAGTCCATCCACTATCTCTGATGCCTCTCCCTTTAAAATCCCAGAATGCAGCACATCAGGTCAGAGATGGAATGGCCTGAGGTCATGAAAGTAATTGAATTGCAAGAGACCACATTTTTCTCTTTTGAGGCTACAAACTGAAATTCAACACAGAGTGCTTTATACTGAAATACCAGGGAGGTTTGCAACTTTTAAAAAAATCAAGTGCTACATATATTGTCGACTTGTGCAATCCAATGCTGTTTTTTAGAAGCGGTGAGAGCAGTATCAAGAATCTTTCGAGCTAAGGAGTCTGCCTGACAACAGCCCTCTGATTGGTTGAGGTGTTTATTGTTGAAAAGCTGCTAAATGCTCAGAGTCGCAGAAAGGAAGAAATATCGAGAGCCTGTAGTCAGAAAGTATTCATCTCTCTCTCTCTCTCTCTCACCCCTCCATGTGGGAAAAGGATAGAAAAAAATAAATAAACCTTAAAAGAAAGAATTCTAAAACAAGAAAGACCTAGGTCCACTTGATCATCCATTGAACCAAAGAGCAACTGTCATCCTACAGACAACAATGTGCCATCATTGCTAAGCTCGAAAGGACTGAGAATCCATTTTGTGGTCTGGACTTTGTATCTTCTTGTTTACCCTGTCAATATTCTTTTACACCAACACTATGGTTGTGAAGTTGGGTAAAGTACTTGCAGATTGGAAGGCAGGACACTAGAATTTGGTGTTTGTAAAATGCTATATGGGGAAAGCAGTATATGGTCCCTTTAAAAGATGATGTGCTTTTTCTTAGTGAATCAAAAAGGTTGTCTGTGGGTTTACAGGCGCACAGAGCACCTGAATTGAAATGTTTGTAGCAAAAGGCTATACTGTTAGGAGGGAAAGCAGCATTTTTTACAGAGACAACAGGTTTTTAAATTTAGCCAATTAATTTAATCCAGGTCCTTAGATACCAAAACCCAATTAAATTTAAATCTGACAACATAGGACCAAATGATATGTCATCAAAGGTATAAAAGATGAGGGTATTCGGAAAACTAGGGGATAGCCAACTGCCATCTGCCAAGAGAACAGCTCTCAGCTCAAAAAGAAAGAATTACTGGCTCTCACAGAATTCTCTAAGCCTTAGAGTAAGCTCCATCTAAATTAAAGGTACCCACAGCATAAATAGTAAATGTTCCTGACAGAAGAATTCAACACAGAAGGTATTCCTGTTGGAAGGATTCACTGAGAAGGCGTTCCTGACAGGAGACTTCATCGGAAAAGGCATAGAACATTGCAGAAGACATAACCTGGCTGTAAATTCGAGACATTAAATTCTTATTTTGTTTTATATAAGTGGGACTTGTATTTATTGGAATAGCATACCATTACAATCCTGTTTTATTCAGGAATAGTTAATAGTTAATAGATGGAGTTTAAAAACCGAAAGAACTGCGGATGCTGTAAAAACAGAAGCTGCTGGAAAAGCTCAGCAGGTCTGGCAGCATCCGTGAAAAAAAAAATCAGAGTTAACATTTGGGGTCCAGTGACCCTTCCTCAGAACTGGAACAGGATCATTGGACCCAAAACGTTAACTTTGATTTTTTTCTTCACATATGCTGCCAGACCTGCTGAGCTTTACCAGCAACTTCTGTAGTTAGAAAGGGTTTATTCAGTTTGTTAATAGTTTAGTCAGTTTGTTCACTGCTGGAGTTAGATAAATAAGCTGTTACTTGTTGATTATAAAGAATGTTTCGGAGTTTATTTTTTTATTTAACCACTCCTTTATAACAGATTGGAGTTTTTTTTTTAACAGATTACAGGGCAAGGCGCGCCTCTCTGGGTATTTCAGTTTTAGTTACAGAGCGGGGTTGACCTTCCATTATAATACTGTATACTTTGAACCATTTGCCTTTAGGCTGTTTTAAGCATGGCTGAGTGCATGTGTGAATTTAGTGTTTTGAATGGGCTCAGTTTAAGTTGCATAAATTAGTTTTTGTTAAAGCAAAAGTGTGACAATAAATAGAATTGGTTTACCTACAAAACCTGATGTGAATAGTTTTTCTTTTCAATGCAGTGGTTACAAGAGCACGTCAAAGGTACGGAATACTGTGGCGAGTAACTTACCTCCTGACTCCCTAAAGCCCATCCACCATCTACAAGGCACAAGTCATAGAGATAATGAACTAGAGGCAGGTGTAGGCCGTTCGGCCCTTTGAGTTTGCTTTGCTATTCAATATGATCATGGGTGATCCTCTCTCTTAATAACATATTCCGTCTTTTTCCTTATACCCCATTGATACCTACAAAGTCTAAAATGTTATCTCTTCCTTGAACATATTCAGTGTTTTGGCTTGCATAGCCTTCTGCGGTTGAGAATTCCACAGCTTCACTAGCCCTTGAAGAAATCTCTTCCCCATCTAAATCCAGAACGGTTTACCCTGCTGTGCCCCCTGGTCTAGGGTCCCCAACATTAGAAAACATCCTCCCTGCATCTGGTTTATCCAGTCCTGTCAGAATTTAATATGTTTCAGTCAGATCCTTTCAATCCTTCTAAACTCTAGTGAATACAGGTCCAGTCAAACCAATGTCTCTTCATAGGACAGTCCTGCCATCCCTGATATCAGCCTAGTGACTCTCTGCTGCACTCTAACTATGTTTAAGTATAACCTTCCTTGGGTAGGGAGACCAAAACTGCTCACAATACTCCAGCATGACCTCACCAATGCCCGGTACAGCTACAGTAAATGATGCCTACTTCTGAACTCAAATGCTCTTGTAATGAAGGCCAATATACCACGTCCCTTCCTAATTACTTGCTGAACCTATCTGTCTACTTTATTGACTGGTGTACACCCAGATCCCTTTGTACATCCCAATATGTCACCATTTAAACTATATTCTGCATTTCTGTTTATCACCCCAAAGTGTGTAACTTCATATTTCTCCACATCGTATCTGCAAGGTTGTTGTTTACTCATGATCTTGACTGATTTGTTGTCACACATATTTTACAGTGAGGAAAACAGTAATATAAATCACCTTGAAGTCTCCTTGCATTTACCTCACAACTCAGAAGGCCCCTCCCAGTTTTGAGTCATTTCTCAATGCTTTTTTTCCCAAGTCAGGAGTGTGATGGAATACTCCCCACTTGCCTGGATGGAGGCAGCCCCAACAACACTCAAGAAGCTTGACACCATCCAGAACAAAGCAGCCTGCCTCATTGGCTGGGCCTGACCCAGTACAGGGAGCTGTACCCGATGGTCAAGGGTCTGGGGAGATAGGATTCAGCGTCATAATCCAGGCTTCATGTGCTAACGGGCCCAAAGGGCTTCAGGACTGAAAATCTGGCCGTAAAGACATAGAGTCAGTGCTTTTGGAGAGACAGCTCTGATTTGATTTGTCAGGTCAGATTCACCAACAGGGACTGAGCTGCTGCTCCCCACCTTCAGGCAGTGTTTTAGTGGGTCCAATTTCTTTCAAAAGCCCCAAAGGGACCAACAGAGCTGCCCACAGGCAAGCAATAGTAGCTCCTACTGGC